CACACACACACCTAGAGCTCCCCCCACCTCCATACAAACCTTCAGGTCCCTCTCCAACCACCTGAGGCTCCTCCCACCATAGAATCGTCCCCCCCCCCCCCGACCCAGGGACCCTGTCATAATGTTTGGTGTTTATTTGCAGGCCCCAGTTCCTGGAGTCCAGGGATTAAGTGAGAGGCTGAGCTGCTGTTACTTTGAATAAGGCTGGTTTCTAGCCCTCTTGGGTGGGGAGAAAGCTATGGAAACATAACCCCTAAAGGCCCTGTATAGATTGCAAATGAACTCGCCCCCGAGTCATTGTGTTTACATTTCTCCTGTCTTTGCAGCTGATCCCACTGCTTTTTTTGAGGGCCTGACTCGTGACTTTTGAGCACTTTGGATGAACAACACTGCATCTGTGGACCTCCAAGCACCAGAAACCACAAGAATACCCCACAGCCAGATCCTGGCATTGCTACAGCTGTCAAACAACCCCACTCAAATGCAAATGACATAGAAGTTGTGGAAAGGGGGAGGGATAGCTCAGTGGTTTGAGCACTGGCCTGCTAAAGCCAAGGTTATGAGCTCAATCCTTGCGGGGGCCACTTAGGAATCTGGGGCAAAAATCAGTCTGGGGATTGGTCCTGCTTTGAGCAGGGAGTTGGACATTAACAGCACAAGTGGCAGCTCTCATTACTAAAGCATCAGACCGTTTTAAAATTTACCCTCTTTAGATTCTTTTGGGTGGCACTGGGGCTGTATCATCCAACACAGAGGTTGCCCAACCATCTAGCATCTTCCTGTGATTTGTGCTCTATATTGCGGTCCTCTTAGTACCCCAGGGATTTACTAAGGGAGGGGGAATGAGGTTGGGATGCTGGCAGACCAGGGGCTAGCTCTCACCAAGGCTTAGGCTCAGCCAAGCACTGACAAATTCATTGCTGGAAACAAGTCTGTTTCACCTGTCTGTCAGGATGGTTAAGATGGGTGTTGGACTTATAACAGCATATTTAGTTTTTGGACTTTATCAGATACATGTAAATTGCTGCATTCATTAATCTCACGATTTCTTTATCATCTGCTGAAGGTAATATTTAAGTTTTTGCACGGTAACTGTCAAAAATGTTTGCTCTGAAACTGTGAACCCAGTCAGAAGAGATCATCTCCTGTTCATCAAGAAGACCTATCAAAATTAAATTGGCCGTTGTGGGGCATCACAATACGAAGACTTTGGCTTGGGCTACATTTGCAAGTTAGAGCGCATTAAATCAGCCTCGGGCGCCCTAACTCCTGAGGTCTCCACACTGGCAAGGCACGTAGAGCGCCTGGACGCTGCAGCTGGAGCGCTCCTGGTAATCCACCTCCACGAGAAGCATAAAGCTTGCTGCACTCTGGCTGAAATGCCTGGCTGTCAGTGTGGCCGACGTGTTGCATTACTGCGCTGTGATTGGCCTCCAGAAACGTCCCATAATCCCTTGAAGTCAACTGGCCACTCTTCTCCTTGTTTTGAACTCGGCTGCAGGCATGCAGATATCCCCTTTCAAAGCTCCGTTTCTGACAGCCGTTGCTTATCTGCTCCGGGACAAAGCGACCATTACTGTGGAATGCTGCTGTGTTTGTGCGTGTGTGAGAGAGAGAGAGGCAGGGTTTCCCCCTTCCTTCTGCCGCTGTCTGCACTTACAAGACAGCATGCTGACACCCTCTCTTCCCCCCAAATCACAGTCTCTCCCCACACAACACACTCCCTGTCACACTCCTCCCTTCCCCCCACCGATTTGAAAAGCACGCTGCAGCCACTTGCACGCTGGGATAGCTACCACAATGCACTGCTCTCTGTGGCATTGCAAGAGCTGCTAATGTGGCCACGCCAGTGCGCTTGCAGCTGACAGTGTAACACACGGCAGCGTTTTCCCTGCTGCGGTCTCCGAGGGCTGGTTTACCTCCCGGCGCTCTACATCTGCAAGAGTAGCCAGGCCCTTTGTTAATTACCCCCTTGCACCCATGAAGAGGCTAGCTCCCCTCAGCGTGAATTCTGGAAGAAGGAAATAAAAATACCCGACAAGAAAATGTGTCCTCTCTTTCGCTGTTTGGCCTCTCACAGGGCTGGAGCTACAAAACAGGCCTGGGTGAGCCGTAAAAGACATTCAGAGCTGGTAGCTTATTATAACTCAGTCACCTTTTTAACCCTGTAACTGTCACTCATCTGTGTATATATGTCGCCTGCTTTGACCTTGTAATAACGCTCTCATTTCTTTTCTTAGTTAATAAATCCTTAGATAGTTTACTATAGAATAATCGTCTTTGGTGTGAGATCTAAGCTGCAAACTGACTTGGGCTAAGTGCCTGGTCCTTTGTGATTGGGAGTAGCCTGAACATTCTTGTGATTTTTGGTGTAAAGTGACCAAGTCCAGCTTGCCGGGGTGGCAAGATAGACGGGAGTGCCCAAGGGGACTGTCTGTGACTCCGTGGTAAGACTGTTATAATGCTTTAGGAGTTCACACTTATGTGACTGGGTTGGAGAGATCTAATTATAGAACAGACACCAGTTTGGGGTCTCTGCCCTGTTTCTTGACACGCTGCCCTGAGGCCGGCACTGACGGTCATGAGCCGCTCCAGATAGCATGACAGAGGTGTTTTTACATCACAGTGCCAACAATTAAAAATAAAATAACCATTAGAACTTAGACTTAAACCTGGTTTATAAGTAGTTGAGATCAGGTAACATATGTACATTGAATATGAAGTTTGCTGAACAAGATCATTACAGACTGGACATATTCCCATGATGTGATTGTGATATGTGATCACACTTGTCTATGTTTATTCCCTCTAGTATCTTACCCTCTTAGTGAGTCACACTCGGTTACCATGGAAACAACCAACTTTACTCAGTTTTAACTTGTACTACCCAACCGTGACCAAAC